TACGGTGGAGAGAGGAAGACAGAGGGCGTTAAGGCGGACCGTAATAATTTTGAATTCGGTTAACCCGATTCTGACACCGGGACGAGCTTCTCCGCCCTACTTCGCGAACCAGCGCCTCGTTTTCCTTGCACCGTCGGCCCGGCACTCTGGAACTGCTGCACGCCGAGATAACCGCAATGAATCAAAGGCCCGATAAGCAGACACGCGAGGCCTGAACGCGAGCGCCATCTCGCGGACCAATCGTATCGCCGCACGGACCGATCCCGGTGAGGGCGCTGTGGACTTCGGTGGAATATGGCGGACTTTGACGAGACTTCTCGGACCTAGAGATGCAAATGAGAGGCTTGCTATGTATCGTATCTTGCGTTTCTTGCGGTGGATGGTAGTTTTGCAATGTAAAGAGGCTTTGTTACTTGACTGAGTGGTCAAACTGTTTAGATCCCACTTTAGTTCGACTTACTAGGGAATCATATTATAGATTCAATGACAAGAGTTAAGGAAACCTATTTAAATATTTTAAAATACAGGATTAAAATGAAAATTGAAATAGGTTTCATTATAAAGATATGTAACACAAATTTTCTGATGCTGAAAAGTAAATTGTATTGTCTAACGTGATAAAATTAGCGAAACCACTCTGCATCGAGTTAAATTTTTCAAGTAACATGCCACTGTTTGGCAACTTAGGCAGTGTCGGCGTTAAACGAAAGTGACTTACGATTTTCAGGAACCAGAATTATTATAATAAACACGGGACAAATGTGCTAGTAGTGTCGAAATAAATTTTTCTTCCTAACTTGAAGCAGCCGCGACATAAATCAGCGCAAAGCCACGAAACTGGTAGAAGACTCGAGCGATAAAACTTTTCCGTCGAGCTGTTCTGCTTTGGTCCGAGATTAATAATATACACGATGTGAACGCGGCTTAAGCGTTCCTGCTTTAATTAAATTGAAATCCGCAATGGAGTCTATTAGGCGACCTATTAAAGAAGCCTGGACACTATAAAAAGGCATTATTAATGCTCGGCAAGGAAAAGAAGAGCGTAATTGAAAGAGATTTAATGAGAACTTGTAAACACGTATTTCGATCATCTATTATATTTCAAAATTCATTCGACAGGCTCGTACAGAGATTAAGTACTGACATATTAACGACTATAAATCAATAAATCGAATAACGTATTGCACGTGTGTTACGATATTTAAAGATTTCCATTTCGAGTCCTCTGATTTACCACTGACATCATACTTCATCAAAGTAACTCCATTGGTGATACAGCGGAAGATAAATTTATTAAAGTACATTCATTGTTATTCTATATATAAACAAGGAATATATAAGGAGTTATTCGATAATTTTATAAACTGCTGGAAATTGAAAATTATTAAAAACTAAAAAAATATAACAAGACCTAAAATAAATTAAGAAATTTATTTAAGAAAAGATATCCAAGTTACAAGAAAATTCACAAAATTCTGGGCTTCGAAAATCGTATTTTCAGGATAACGTCAGGATAACGTGAGGTATTTCGATCGATCCTCCGAATAATTCTCCATTGTATTCTATAGCATTAACCGAGAAATCATGTTCATTCTACGCTGATTACGCGATGCTATCTATGCCGTGGAGACTAGTTTGGCATAATTCCATACATAACACGATCTGCTAGCAATTTCATTGACTTCTATCTGTCTCCTATCTCTGTATACAAAGTTTAATCGCGTTTCGGAACACGACTAATTAAGAAAAAGTGGATAGAAATAAAAACAATTTGAAAAATAAAATAATAAAATAATAATTTCCCAGCTATAATTTCAGCGTCGAATATAATTAAAGCGAAATTATAATTCCTTGAGGAAAACTACGAAACGTTTGTCGATGTCTCGATAATCCCAAACGGAAACAGATTAAACACCGCGAAATATCAAATGAGCGCGCGAAGTTCGAATTCCCCAGCGAGCGGAATCGATTTCAAAAAGTTTCCCCGCGCGAGTCGTCCCGACGAGCGTCGGGCAATTTCGATAATTCGAAAGCGATGTCGCCTTTTCAATCGACGCCCAGCCTGTCTGGGAAATAATTTCGACTGCCTTTGCTGCAATTTGCGTGAAATTAAAGTGCCAATGCTGGTCACATCCGCGATCGCCTTTCTTTCTTCCTTTGATCGCCGGTTTATTAGCTCTTCGTGGCCACGCTTCATAATTGCGGTTTAATAAATTGAGGCACGCCACAGAGGCGCGTCCATTCGGCAATTTTTTCGATACTGTCGTTCCGACGAATCAAATGACAGAGAGTTGACCGGAAATCATCCCTTCCTTGTATTTTCGACGCGATTACACGACCACCTCGTGAATTAAAATGGAGCTTTCGAATTGAATGAAGCGATGCATGAAAAATAAAGCGTGCATATCGTGGAAAGATTATCGAGGAATTGAAAATTCTTAAAAAATTTGCAAAAAATTACATAGCTTTCGGTATGTTCTGATTAAAAATTATTTAATTGGGAAAATATATTGTGATTGCGAAATGGCGAGGTATTAGTGAATTTTCAGGGCACCTCCCTTTGGGGTCGACGACACCCTCTATATCCGTCTGTCTGTCAATGTCAGGTATATCGCGCGTCCACGTGCTGGTCAATGGTAATTAAAAAGTTCGTTAGTCCAGATGTTCATCGTTATCCATGTGTACACTGAGCCCTCGTTCCGAAAAATAAGATTATGATACGTCAGTTGCTGTTGAACAGCAGATGCCAAAGGTTTCAAAACGTTATTAAAATTTCCAGCACTGCTGCCGATCGTGAAACTGATAACGCGTTTAATTGGAACATTCGGCATGACGACATCAGGAAAGATTTCCTACGAATTTTATTAATTCGTTATTTACATCGGTAATGATTTTCAATTTTATTCCGAACCCAATGCTTCCCGAGGCACGGTAAAATCTAAAAGTAGGTTGGAAAGTAATTTAAAAACTCCGGACGAACTTCATAACCCAACTTGTGCACTACTTAAAGACGTTTTCTGATAAAAGTTACTGTCCAAGAGGTGAAATGATAGCTGTAAACGAATTTATGCTTCTTAAAAGGGAGGTAATAAATCACTGCTTGTTTCACTAGAACTCTATCTACTGTTCCACTGATCTGATAGCTGATTTGCAATTGTTGCTACATTCACAACGATCAATCTCATTTCTATGAACTATAACAACGCGAATAACATTAGTTAAAAATTGATAGTTAAAAATTTGATTAATTTCAAACCAGTCACAATTAAACGAAGCAAGAAATGCAGTAACCCTTCACGATTCTACGTTGACTTGAACTTATATGATAGTTCTTTGCCCTAATTTAATTCGACAAAAATATCTCAATATTTATGTTATATTTTATTTATTATACGTTATTGGTTAGAAGAATAAGAAAATAGAATCAAATTTTGAATAGCATTTTTAGGTAGATCCTCAACGATGAACCAATTGGGCTCAAGCACCACCTTGGACTACAAAAGATTAACTTCTTGCCTCAGAATCTTCTCAACAACTGTCTGATAAAATCTGGCCACGTACATAACAATTCGTCATGCATACCCGTAGCAACGGAGAAGGAAAAATGTTACATTTAAACGAGCGATCCACGAAGAGAACCACTCGACATTCTTACGAATTTGAAAACTCCCGGCAACGTTACAATCAACCAAATAGAATGGAATATTCACCACAAGCGACAAGAACTCTCAAAACTTCAACTCATTTCCTGAATCCCCCAAGGGAGAAACTCGCGTATCGCGTTGTGCTTTCCAGCTTCGTGGAAACACCAGCTGATCTCGCGTTGGGTAGTTAACGCGAGTTAATCAGGTCGTCCATATAGTTTCGCGTTATTCATCGAGACTTTTGGAACGATCGTCTCGTTCCCTGGTAAGACGTGTCCTTTGAATGGCCGTGTTACTCCTCCGGGTCGTTTCTCGCGAAAGAACGAAAAACCCGTGGGGAAAACGCGAACGCGAAAACGCCGAAGAAAAATATAACAGAGCCAAGCGAGAGCTTGTTTCCACGTTGCGTTATTGTCGTAGACACTAGCAGATGTATTCGATATTGAACGACGGCTAATGGAACGAAACGTAACCTAATTTCCGGTTAGGGATGCTGGACACGCGAACCAGGAGTTTCCACGTTGGAGGAGCAAGCTAAGAGAAAGGAACCATGATTTATTTACGGGAAAAGGAATTCCGAAGAAATATACGTAATCGACGTGGAGGAATTCTAACCGAATTCGGTATATTAAGAGGAACATAAAACTCGAGCAATATGCTAAACGAGCGGATACTTTGAGATAATTATGATAAAGCGGGGAAGTTTCAGTGGTCACGTCTGGCAACATTTAGAAGCTCGTTTCGCACAAGTGTCTTCGAGAAACTAATAAAACGACTTAGAAAATTAGTCGTCATGAGATAGCAGACTTGCTAATTATACCGATTATCATTAATTAATTTTAATTATTCGGATAAATATTAATTCTCGGAGGGGAACTGCGTATCGTGAAGAATCGCGATAATAAAATGTCTGATACGAGTTACTTTGATACCGTTGGCAGTTCTGGTGTTAGGAAGCCGAAGAAAGCATTCGTAATTAATGTAACAATTCAACTCCGGAAGCACGTACATGCATAAGTCACGCACGAAACCGCGTGCAGGTAAAATCACGTAAAATGTCCACCCCAAATTGTTCTTTCTGACAAAAGCAGCCCGACATAAGAACCAAATTTCTCTAACGATATAACGAACAAAGCAAAGAAGTAAGAAGAAAAGAAGAAAGAAGGGAAAAACGGTGGGCCATGAAAAGAAGAATTCAGAGAGGCAGAGAGAGGGGTGGCATCTTCATTTTTCACACGGCGTCACACTCGTTATTTCATGCTCGTTAACCCCGGCCATCGGGCAGCGGCCAGTTCGTAGCAGGCCGCGTTGCGTTTTAATTAAAAATTCTAGCCGCCTGTAGACGGTAATTTGAATTCATAGGTGGCCGGCATTGTCTCGGCAAACGGCGCGTTCTCTGGCACCGGTTTTAAAAGACGGTCACCGTGGGCAAACGTGGCGCGGCGACAGAAGAAACGGAGAAGGAGGCTGAGACACGCCGACGATAACGATAATTATCCTGCTCTCAGGGGCCGTTCCTCTTCGCCAATTTGGCCGTGAAGCAGCAACGCGTGGCGTTTTTGCGTATCCGCACAGTTCGTGTCCTTCCTGCGGCCACCCCATCGCTTCCGGTCAGATAAGGGCTGCCTCCACTGTGTTGTCCTCGCAAATTTCAGCTGAAATTGCGGAGAAAATATTTGCCAGTCTTTGACACCGGCCACGACGAGATAAGAGTAGTGGTTCTAGCTCCCTGTGACTCTGCTAATGTTCCTCCGCTGGAATTTTCGAGCGTCCAATTTGTAACGATCTAACGATGAGTGATGGAGCAAACGACCCATTGTCGAGCTTAATGTCCACGCTGATAAAAGGATCGAGAGATGTTTTCTATTCCCGCGTTTTGTGGCTAGATCATCTTGCGCGATGGAAAATTGTTGCAAATTTATTCTCCTCTCGTACTTAATAATTACGCTTTGAGAATAGCAACTGAGATAATAAATCGAGTGAATCGGACGATTTTAATGACCTGTGGTAAAGAGTAACTGGGATTATCTGTCTTATTATTTGATTTTGTGATTGAGTAAAATGTAATACATTACGATTCGGTGTCGTTTACCACTCTGAACGATATAACATGAAAATGAGTAAGAGTAAGATGCTTTTGTGGTATTGCAAGCTAAGAACTCTAGCAAAGGAGATAGTATTAAGAGCGATAGGGGGGTCTTACAAGAAGAGTGCAAATTCTTCAGGTCACGGACTTAATTGAAACTTTACAGGTTTGTAGATTTCGCCATGCAATTCAAGAAAATATATCATTATAAGGGCAACTACTCGATAGTTTTTGATTTATTTATAATTTATTTAAAATTATACGTTTCATGGTCGAAAAATTAAGAGAAGAGTAAGAGTAAGATAAAACGATGTAAAGGTAAGGATATTTTTAAGCGTCTACTGACCTGGATTAAAACACACATACTCTGCGTGATTAATTTTTCACGAATGATCTGAGTGATTCGAAAATGAATTAAAGAGATCGAATTAGAGAAACGAGATGGAGAGATTGAGGACGAGACTTATCTTAAATGGATCTCAATGGAGGAATTGACATGCATTGAAAGAAATAATGGAAGTCGTAATTAAATAATAACTTGGACGAATAGGAGCATATAGTAATACGAGCCATTGAAATCTATTCAAAAGTACTTTCTGAACCTATATGATCCTCTAGAGTGTATAACCCAGCGAAGATCCTATATTTTCTACCACACTCTGCGTCTATAGATCGGTGCTCAGCGCCAGATAATTGATACTCTTCTGCAAAATGCGAAGCGGAATTATCCACATCTACAATCCGACTCTGTATGCAACGTATTTATTCCGAAATCGATAAAATTATTTTTCCCTTTTCCTTGTTCGTTAAATTTTCTGACTTCCCTCGATACTCCCTCTCTTCTTCGTTCAGTAACCTATTCGGTAACTGATAAAAGGATTCTTGTTTTATCTTCTCTTATTCGCGATTATTTTACGAATAATCATTATTTCTCGAGAGCCAGGTTGATTCGAGAAGAACACGGGAAATACGTATATAACAACTTCTGATTACCATCGCGTCGAGTTGCGTGATTCCCTGTTCTCCAATTCCGCGCTCCGTTCCACGGCAGCAAGACAAACTTTAACCGCAAAGACCATATCCAAAGTCGGAAAATATGCACGTGACTTTTGAAACCTACGGAGGATAAACTCCATGACTAAATGTAGCGGAAAAATGAAGTTTGATGCAATATGAAACGGAGACGTTCGTCTAAGAGGAAATACGCGAGTAGTTGCTGTTCCAATTTCAATTTTTATCTTGGTTAATTCGAAGTGAACTGGAAACTCGATTCTTCAGCGATAATTGGATCATGGCGGTTGGACGTAATAAGGAATTCTGATATGACGCTTAAACATTTTCGAGAGACCGGTATTAATAAACCGTATTTAATGAAACCTGTATTCGTTGCATATAATTTTTATTATACTTTATCCCAGTGACTGGGGTCAGAAAATATAACGAAATATGTTATCTGAATTAGTACCTTCACTGCGAGAAATATAAGAAATTGTGTGTACACTGTAATTAAGATTTAATAAAGAAAAATATATAAAAACAAACGGAAATGTCGATGGAATCTACTTCGAAACCGAGAGAAGAGCTAAATTCCACGTTCTCCTCGGGCTTTTCATTTGATAGATACTCGAAAGTGGAAAAAATCCTTTCGACCTACTTCATCTTGATCGCGAACACAGTTAGCACGGTAATTTCTTCCACCTGCGCGTCCCTTCGCATCCTTCATGTTCCTTTCCATAATTCATCTACTTCGGATCGCGTGTTCTTTACGAGCTATCTGGCTATCTCAATCTTTTACCCATCTTTACGTATAATTTCGCTGGAATAAAGTGGATTTATTTGTATCGCTTCTTCGACGTTGCTCAACGAGTTTCCTCGTTACTTTTCATCTCGCGCGCTTGTTCTTATTACACCGGATATCCGACTTAAAAGCGTCTTGCGTACTTATTGCACGCAGACATTCTCCGGGAACAAGTCGATAGATACGCTCCTTCCTTAGTATTCGGTTCTTCTTCCACGTTTCTTCCGTCTTTCCGTGCTCTTTGTGTCGAATGACAGAGGAATTTCCTCTCGTGGATATTCGCTGTCCGATATATTCGCGTAGTGACTCGTCGTAGAAATGGCGTCATGTCGAAGGGCAATTGTAAGAAGAAGATTCTATTCCACTGACGTAATATGAAAATAAAAGTTACAGAAATACGTCTACATTCTTTTATCAAGAAATTCAAGATCAGGTATTAAATTCCCGTAGAAATTCGTCGTGTGAAATATTTAAAAATATGTAAAAAATAATCACAGACCTGGAAACACGTGGAAAAAGGCTGGTCAAAATTTACGGTCTCGTTTACGGCCTGAAATATTATACAAATTTGTTTACTCGCAGAAAGAGCACAGCTGGATTTATAAATGCGACATCGTTGAGTTCTATTCAGTTGTTCGGTAGACAGCGTGCCAGCGACGTGTCCAAAATGTTCAGTGAAATGTTTATCTCCATGCTGCAATTGCAGAAGCGATGAAAGACCGCACCTTTGCTCGCACAGTTTCGCTGCAGGACCGTACGAACAAAGGTGTAAGCACATACTCCGAAATTCGTGTCAGAATTTTCCTTCCAGATAAATTGAACGAACATTTACTTCCTAATGTCGTCAGTATGAGAAAAAATAAATCTACTCTATGAAGAAACTCACGGATAATTTTCACTCCTTCCTTTTCGAAATAAAATCTTTTTTACAGTCGCTGACAGATCGAATGAAAAAATTTTCGGACAGCAGAGCGATCAAAATACGAACTCCTCATCGAATTATAATATTTTTCATGCAACTTCGATTCGCGTGAAAATTCATTGTCTTTTTAACCTATCGATCGCAAACGTCAGTTCTCAAAAAACGTTCGCGAGGACGAGAAAAAAATCACTTCGAAAAAAGAATTACGTATCAAACGCGCGCACGAGTCGGGGGTGAAGAGACTGATAGGAAGAAAAAGAGGGGAAAAAAATCGGGAATTTGACTGATTCGATTTTGAGAGGCGCGATCGTTGCGTCGGATCTGTCATGCCGTGGATGGCGGAAACGTTTTGCCACGTGTTCCAATTCGTACTGATCGCAAAGCCGGCTGTTGCGGTGTCTGAGAATTGGGTCGACTGATACATCGATTGCTCATTAACTCTTTCCTACGGTGAAACGGCCGAGTTTTGACAAATCACGCCCGAAAAATCAATTTTCCGTCGTGCACTTTCGATTCGCAACGCGTACGAATAAAATGGCCGATTCGCTCGCGACCATGTCCGGCCGCGGACCTTTCCAAACGCGACCATATCGACCCCGGCTGTTCAACGACTGATTCACTCTGGATTCGTTGCGTTTCGAATAATAATTTATCGATATTGTCGGGAATTCGATCGCAGTTCGTTAACGTGCCGTTGTAATGGCCCAGGATGCAACAACGAATGGGCCATGAAATATGAGGTGAACGTTCGTTGTAATTCCGATGACAACTTTTTCGTTGTTTCTAGAGGCTGGATTATCTGGTTGCGACTAGAGATAAACGACGCTCATTTTTTTTTTTTTTTTTAGAGAATCTGTTTTTCACTGAATCAGAGGTACGTATAAGTGTTTGTTACGGAATGAGATTCATGTACCGATTTATTAAAACGGCTAGCAAAATTTGCCTCATTTTATTAGCCGTTTATCACGCTACTTTATCGACATTTTTTCCAGAAAATTGGGCCGCATTCTGAACTTTGGTTCTTCATCCCCTGGCATCCCATGTAACATCCAAAACAAGCACCGCGATAAAACGAAAGTTAAAGCCCATCAACGGTACGTTAGTCGAAACTTAGTTCGAAACTGTTCTCGCTTTCACGCAACTTTGGCATTTTCGGAAAAATTGCCAGCGTCTCGCTTTCTCCCTTTTCACCAGCGTTCGCGTCTCCGTGAAAATAACGCGTCTCGGCCAGGGTGCATTGCGGCTCTGTAATTGGACACCACTAATGCACCCCAACCTCGTTTGTCGAACGTGTAGGGAATGAAAAGGGAGTGGAAACAGGGGTGGAAAGATCGAGCAACGTCTGAGAACGGAAGAAACGAAAGGGAAGGAAGGAAGGAAGGAAAAAGCAAAATGGAAAAAACTGTAAGTCGATACGGAAGGCGTCGTTATTTGGTTTATTCGTTCATCCGATCTGTTTCCCCTTTGGCTCGCTACTTTCTTCGTTGCTCGTTTATTTTTCTTCCTTCCTTTGCCCATTTCACCCTTTATTTACCGAATACTTCAATTTCTACTCCATGATACGAAAAATAACGAGATTCCGGGAATCTTCGAAATACTCTTTTAATCAACCAATTTAGTAGCCGTTTTTCCGTACAACAGTTAGCGATGATACGATTCAAAAAATTTATAATTATTCGGTATCGCGTTATCAAGTTTAATTGCTTCCTGATCCTCGAGCGTTTGTTTAATCGATCTCTCGTATCGGATTCTAATAACCTCTGTTTACTATCGGATTGCGATAAATTTTTACCCAGGTTAAGTATTTTAACCTTTGCACTCGAGAGTCGACCCTCAGTCACCATTTCATAAAATTTGGAAGATCGATATTAATTAATATATCGAAATTCAATAATTCTTCAATTCTATTATTATACAATTCTTTATTTACTGCTCAAAAATGTATCGTCACTTCTTTAATAGAGAATCTTTGATTTTCTACTCTTCTCTAGCCAAAAATCGTCGAGTGCAGAGGATTAAATTCAGCCTACATAAGGCAAGGTATCTAACTCTGATGCAAAAGTTTCTGGAAAAAATTTAGTCCGAGGAACTTCATCCATATTTCTGCCAGTTCCGAATGACTGAAACGTCCATTCGATACGCAACAGTCAGCCGGATAAGACCTGGAAACTCGAGCAAATGTTTTCCTCGAGACAGCACCCACACCCCAACCTATCACCTACATTCCCTCTTACTTCCTTTTAATTTCCAGAGCGGAGACGGTTTTGTTTCTGATCAGTGCGACACCCCCGATCCCTCTGCCTTCTTTCATGTCTTCGAATCCCAGTTCCGTTCACCTTTCCGCTCCGTTATACCGTTGCAACTTGTCCAATGCAGCGTGCCGGAAACCGCCGCGACACCGGTCCCGCGTCAGTCGATACTCTTCAACCCTCGCGCGCGTCTTTCATATTTCATTCCTTCCGGCGGACCCGTTTCTCCCGCAGCTTTGTCGTCCGTTTGTCTTCTGCTCCCATAATTCTCCGCTTCGTCATGGACACGTATTTTCTTCTTCTTCTCCTGCTCGCGCCGCTTTATTATCCGCCCCGCGATCCGGCTCCTCTCGTAATTTCCCCGTTCGTTTTTGCGCTTCGTCATCTGGCCCTACCCCCGTGTATTTTTCCGCCTACTTCGCTGAGTCTCCGTTCTTATTTCTGTCTAACACGCTCCACAGCCTCGGATTTCATATTATTTCCTACGCGTTTCCCTCTTCCTGCGCCTCCGTTTGTCCCCTGTGGCCCATTATCCTTTCCCTCAGCCGTACCTTCCGGCTCCCATACGCGTTCCATCTAACGTCGTTGTTTTCCCTTACTCAGTTTCCACGACGTTTCGCTTTCTCGTTTTCCGTATTTCGTACCCGGAAGCAGCCGAGCTCCGTGATCCGGCTATCGTGGAAATAGTCATTAGACCATTCGCGATGAGAAGTTAGGTCCGGGCCAGCAAGTTGCGTCTAGACTCGAGAGCATGTTCGGGATTAAGATTCGACCGATTTTCGACGGTAATGGGTATAATTAGTTATGCTACTTGCGAGACCGTGTGTAGATTGAGTTTCTCGGAATATATATTGTATCACGTATGTATCACGAAAAAGGTATAGGTAGCGTGGAAAAATATTTGCGAATAATTTGGAAATAGAACAGACGAATAAATATCGCCACCTGATGTTTCATTTATAATAATAAATATTATTTGACCACTGATGGAAATGAACGAAATAATTTTTAACGAAATAACCCAATTATTAACGACCTCGACTAATTAACACGACCTAATAGAAAATAAATTTATTAATATCCGTTTCCATAAAGTATATCGATAATTAAAAAATTGCAGTAATTAATTGCCGGGGAAAAGTTCGACGTAAAGGCGAGAAATTAAGAAGACGCGATAGAAAATAGTATAAATACGACAAAACGAAACTAAGCCAGTTTCAACGGTTCTCGTCTGAAATTGTACCACCCGACGTTTTTCAAAATCGTTCCCGGAAGGCTACTGCAATTCCACAGAAATTAGTTCTTCGAAACGAAAAGGAGTCCCGGGGAAATTAAAAAGAACGAGAGTCGCTGTATGCACAGTTTGACGTGAAGCAGAGAGCGCCTCGAGCCGCGGTATCTCGGATTCATATTTCACCTTATCGCTAAATTGCCCGCTGTATGTTCAATCTTTGCGCCCTGCTCACTGTCCGTGGCAGAGTTAAAACTCCCTTGCGCTTTGATGACGAGATACGACGATTAATTTTCCAAGACCGTCCTCGTTGACGAAATATTGAAACGTAGATCTTAAGATAAAAACTACCAAGCTACCGAAATAAAATTTCCCTTGCAGTATACCGTGGGTAATTAGCCATGAAGGGAAATATTAGATACTATATTTATCGGTAGCGTAGATAATTCTGAAGAGGGTCTATTTCATCTTAATAAAATATGAATATTTATGTTTTAAAAAGTCTGTCAAATTCGACAAATTTTTTAACGTAAATGTACTGTTAGAGATATCAAGATCATTTTAACGATATTTAGAGTCTAGGGACCGGCATTAGACATTCCGGGCCCGCATGATGGCTAACTGTAACGTAAACGAAACGACACGTAAAACCGGCGTGGCATTTAACGCGTTAAAATCTCCCTTAAACAATAGAAAATTTTTTAATTCGATCTATGAACGATGAACCTAATTGTCGACAAATTTCTTTAGATACTTTCAACTCACCCCCGTAACAGCATAACTAAACAGCAGCGAGTTTCCTGAGTAATCCACAAATACCAGAAATTCTGCAAACCATCGAAAATCGACGAAACAACAATCCCAACCCCCAAACTAAACAAGCTAAAGCGAGACTTTAAAAACCTCATAACTAACAAGCATACGAATCGACAGGGGGCAGCAAGAGCATCGAGGAGCTTGGAGTTCCGGGTTATCTCGACCTGGTTGGCTCGCCTTATCATTGGTCCGACTGTTCTTCCGTCGTTCCAGTCACAGTTACTCGTCATAGTCGAGGTCAACCCCCGACAAGTTTGCCCTCTCTCACAGCGAAGACGCCGCAGCTCGAGATGGAGTCGCCGATCCTCGGTTACTCCGAAGTGCCACTCGCTGCGAGCTGGCTGCTTCTCGATCTTCGACAAAGCGCGATAATCCGGCCAAAGTTTAGTTCGACGAAGACGCTGGACTGGAACGACGACTCGGTGAAGTAAGGGTGCAGGCCAGGGACCAGATAGAGAAGCTGAAGAGGAAGAGAGACCCGCACACAGAGGAATTGAATATCTATTATTCCGGAGGCTCGACGATGAAACGTTGAAGAGGGTGGATCGGTGATCCTCGAAAGTTCACCTCGTTCTTTTAGATTGCGTTACACTATTTTCTTGGCGAAATCGGAGAGGCTTCCCGCTGTCGGGCGACCGTTCGATGCATTTCAGCGGAGAACTTTGGCGGATAAACGTTCCATTCTTTTTATTCCCCGCTGGAGAGAGCAGGTGATCGATGAGGGGATGATGATGAAGTATATGGTGATGTGGGGGTAAGAACAATGTTAAAAATCGGCGAACTTTCGAAGCCATCGGGATTGAAAAATTCCCCCGCGACGTGATTCTGCGCGTTTTAAGGTTTTAAGGAATAAGAAGTCGATGGTAATTTATTCGAGAAGCGGTGGCGAAGTTGGAATTGGAGATCGTGGCTGTGACACGTCCAGCTGTTACCTTCTGATTTATCGGTATAGTGATCGTTAGAAAATTATTAACCGAGGTTTCGATGCATTATATTTTTTTCTGCGATCAAACAAAATTTATCAGAAAAGAAGATGAGCAATTTAACAATTTTATTGAAAGCTGCATTACGTCCAAAACCATTTCAATATTGTCCAATATATCTACACTAAGTGCAGGCTGCTGGATGTAGTTTGCATATTGAAACAATTTTATTATCTACAATTTTATGATATTAAAAGTACAGAATATATAACATATCGAGTACTTTGAAGTGCATAAAATGTTTTATTGTTGAATTTGAAATCCATAAAATATTTGATTGTTAAATCCTTTCATAAATCTCTGTAATACTGTTCGAATGAAAAATGTAATAATTATGACGACTAAAAACGTACGCCAATATATTTGTAACCTAGTTAAATTATACTTTGGATCATTATATAATTAACTGACGCATTTCTTTTTCTTCGTGACTTGATTTAATAAACGAAGCGATCAAAGAGATCCATTTGATAATTCTGAAATGCACTAAATGTTTATAATATACTTGAAACTATATATCTTACGTTCCGTATTGCATTCGTAATGCATAAACCGAGGAAAGCTTCTGTTTGAAAACTTTCCATGAAAATCACAGTGTACAATATTTCTTCGAAGTTGTCAAAGCCAACGCCAATAGTTCTCAAGAGCAACGCGAATGGCGGTCAAATTTATGGCTCCCGGTGTTGACGTTCCCATTAAAACCTGATTTTTTGCTCGACTCGGTGGAGCATTAATTTCTAAAAATCTGTTTAGTCGTGGGAATCCAGCTGGGTTTCCCGATACGATTCTGTCGATTCGTGTTTAGTTGTTCGACAGATAGTGCGCAAGAAACATGTCCGAAATGTGTAGTGTTTCGTACCTGCGAAATCACTATGGAAGCAGCGGAAAATCGTGTTGCTAATTTCTTCGTTTTACCGCGTAAATGCAAGTTAGTACCTACTTAATTTAAGATATTAAATTTGTATTATTTCTTATAATTTCTACATATCAAATTCAGTTTCCTATCAACTCATACGCGTAAAAATTAAAATGATAATCAAAAGTAAATCGATGGCTATTTCGAATAAAGCAATATAACATATTAATTAAATATTCCATTATCGAGGAGTAGACAAAAATATTTCAATAATTTATAATAATTTGAAGTAATAATATAAGAGAAGAGACCTCCGAAATATTATCGATATGAATATATTGCTTCCCCGAAAATGTTTATTTCAGTATGTTATTAATAAGGTATTACCAGTATATTACCAACGTCCTATTAGTTAAACTATTCATCGTAGGAAATAGTTTCGATATATCGAATTCACTATACGAGAATCGTGTTATGAAATATGAATGGGAGTGAAAGCAATCTTTCATTTATCGAGCAAAGAAGATTATTGCACGCGGAAAGGGAGAAAATTGAATGTGTTAGGTCGATAGGTGGGTAACGTGGCATTAAAAGGAGATCACCGACCCCTTCGATTTCCCTAGAAATTTCCATTCCACCGGAACATAATATGTTAAAGCTGGAAATGGGTGTGATTTGTCTACTCAAAGATATGACAGCTTCTTTCATGCCCAACATCCTTTCCTCGTAGGATCGAATAATTTTTTCATCGCACATGTAAGGTATAACTAATAATAAAATATATCTAGTTAAGAACCGCCATTCGAAAACGTTATTTCTCCCATTGTAAATTTGTAACATACCAATATATAAAGAAAAATATTAAATTTCCGATTCCGAAGATCGGTAAGCACGGAAGCATTTCCATTACATAAAAATAAAAATGATTCGGTACAAAATGTTTATCGCAAATTATAAGATTTTCCTGAAAGAAAAATTACACAAAATAAACACATTCCATGGAAGAAATTTCCCACAGAAGAATGAATATATCGCAAAATTCCACGGTCTCACGGCATCTGAAATAGCCGGTAGTCTAAATTACGCAAAGTTTACCGATATTTCGATCGATGGATACACCATGAAAAATGTTACGAAGCCGCAAGCGCGCAATTAGTTTTCAGCTAACCAATTTTTACCAACCTTGAGAATAGTTTAAACAACTCGAGGCGTATCCAATTTCTTAAAGAGGCACATAGGAAGCTCTTTTCCTTGGTCGCCTGAGAGGGAACGATCGATCGATCGAATTTATTCGCGGAGGAATCGAGTGACGGGGAAAATCGCGGGGGCCGGGCCTCGCGCGCTAACAAATAATAGATCGCGCCGCGATGATCGAGAGGACCATTTATCTTCGGTGAATCACGGGCCGAGAGGAAAGAATAATGACAAAACGCTTACCTTCCCGGAGCCCCTCGAGTTGCATAAGAGAACGCCGGCAGCGTGGATTCTGTACTCCTTGTCGAGTTGCTCGTGCTGTCCTTGAATTTTCCTGCCGACAAAATGAAGAACGTCGCGTTATAATAGATCGATCATTCGTTAATGTAAAGAGGGGGGGGGGGGGGGGAAGGTAGATCGTTAGACGCTTTTGAAGCAACCAAATAATTAATATCCGTTTAAGCGATTAACCTTTTGTCCATGGTGTAAGAAGCATGTAAAAGCTGATGATGTATGTATATCAAAATCATAATAAGTCGATAAGGTAGATCGTTCAGTTTTACAGTCTTGAACGCGGGTAAAAGATATGTAAAACGAGGAACATTAGTATATAATAATTTTAATAAATTATAAAAAATTATAAGAAATATTCGCGTAATAATAAACACCGATTAATTAAACGAGATAAGGTACATTAAAAGTTCCTAATTTTTCGTTAAATTTTGTACTCTGCTCGGCTACTAGCTACTTAAACATTTATTTTCGAGAAGTATAATAACACAAAGTAGCTTCGAGGAATGCAATAATATAAAGTAGCTCGAAGAAACATAGTAACACGGGGATACTGAATTTTATCAAAGGGATCGTACTTCTGCAGACATGTTTTATTTTGCGTGAACGTCTCGCTTACACCATAAAGTTCGAACGAAAAGTTCCCGACTGAAATATAAACTTTGCGTCGCTTCCACCGAACTAAAGTCACTTGTATCGCGACTTTTAAACTTCTTTGCGTTCCTTGAATAAGGCTTTCATATTATTTGTCTTCCCATAGAAGTTAACGTTGTTTAATGGGCTACCCGAACTGATGAAATAACAATATATTCCGTAAAACCGTGAGCAGCTATTCTTTCCATCTACGCGGCTCTTTTTAAGTACCTTCGTCGTCGTTAAAATAAATTTTTCTTCGAACAAATTCATCCGTGAAATCAACAACGAAGTCGGTCACACGTTGAGCCATTTCGTGCGAATGCAGCTAAAAATAACACGTAACTGAGACAGAACCACATCGTCGAAAATTAAAGAGCCTAACCCTTCGTGTTTACATTTGGCTTTATCTTTAAACCATGCCTCTAACCCTGCCACGCTCATATTTCACACATTGACCCAGTTTCCTTACCAGGAATCTCACAGGATATTGTAGACAAAGGAATTAAATACTCCCAATATCATACCATCCAACCCAACAATTAAATACTCAGGCAAAAACCTATCCAAACCAAGCCGTATATTTATTTATTCCTATCGCGAACCCTCCATAATTACTATTATCTAAGTACATTACATTTAAACCCTTGCCTTACCGTTTAAGTTCCAATGGTGCGTGCCATAGCGAACAGCAAGGTCGGTTACACGTCCAAGAATAACACGTAACTGACAATGAGATAGAAAGACATAAGCGAAAATTAACCAGGAGCCTGACCCGCGTTTGCATTAGGACCTAGCTACAAGCCACGCTTCTCTTGATGTTTATGTTTGAATTGATTTCCTGTATAAGTCACAGGCAATATTGTAGGCGAAGAGAACTTCGAACCAAATATGCGTATCACAGTTGAGAGTCAAGGTTTCTAGATAAAGCCGAAGGACGTAAACATTAACGGTCAGGCTCGTTGGGAATTTACGGCGATGTCTCCGTCTCAGTTAAGTGTTATTCTTCGACAAGTTCAGACGAGTTTGCTCAACGTGCGACCAACGCTGCTGTGACTGTGGCACGTGGCATCGGAATTTAACAGGTGAGCCAAGGGGTTCATTAAACCAAGGAGTTCAGTTAATTCATTTATTAACGCATAAAGGTAAATCTCAGAACAAGTTTATAATTACACCCTCAATTGAGAAGCACTGAAAATTTAATTTCCTTTAGCTCGAATACTCAAACCTTCGCGAAAAATGGAAAAACATTTCCCCTCGAACCGTATCAAAATATCCACTAAATTTAGTACGAAATTCGATCAAAATGTGATTAAAATTACACCGACCGTTCCATCCACGTTATAATATCGTACACATAGTAATCAATTATTAAACGCATCATTACGATAACAGCAGAAGACGAGCGTATCCCTGATTAGAATTATCCTTCCATAATTAATCATACCCGACTTCGAAACCAACCTTCGTTACTCCGATCCAATACCGTCCGCCATTAAACTTCGTTACACGCGTATATACATCCTTCCCAATTTTTCTTAGCCAACTTCAACCCGGTAAAGTTACTTAGAACCTCCCTCGCAAACATCTCGCTAAACGGCCCGCTTGCCAGCGCACAAGAAGTCCATTTGTACGCAAGCACACGCCCGGTTAATTCGCCTCGGTAGATTTCATTCAGCGCTTTAATTCGCTTATTAGATCGCGCCAGGGCCCGTGCTTAATTCGCGCCTTTGCAAGCTGGTTGGTCGCGCAAAGAGAGTCGCGAAGG